CTGGGGCAGCCCTCAGGCTGGAAAGGACCTGTTCAGACCTGGGATGGGCTCTGGGCTGGGACAGGGGTCTGCATTGCAGTGGGGATAGGATTCAGGGCTAGGGCTCACCCTTGTCTTCGATGGGGTTGTGGGACAGAGTGAGGGCATGCAGCACACAGCTCCCGTTCTCCCCAAACACCCCGGCCAGCTTCTGGACAAAGTCCCTTCAGGGAAGGGGAGGAAGCATTTGTCCTGAGCTGAGCCCTGAGTCCCAGCTCCTGGCTTCCCCTCCTCTTCTATCTGCCTTTCTGGCTGGGGCTATAATAGTCAGAGGATACCATGGTGGAGGATCAGCTTGGGGATGACAAGGGAGACTGTCAACTCTCAGGAGTACCTGGGGGGTGGAAGGTGAGGCTACACCTTGCATTCCATACCTTAGGGACATGTGCCTAACTTTGTGTGACCAAGACTGCAGCAGCCCACCCTGCTTGGTAGTTGGTCCTGAGGGAATGGGACATGAAGTGTGTACTGGGGAAAGGCCAGGAGCTGGGACATCAGGGGCTGAGATCTGAGTCTCAGCTTGACCACTGGCTTGCTTTGTGCCTGTCTGAGCATCAGTCTCCTCTGTAAAGTAAGGAGCTGGATGAGATAGTTCAGAGACTCATATCATGCTCTGATGTTCCCGGATTCTAAGACTACACGAACGGGGTACCACTGCCCATGGAGGAGGCTGGCCTCACGTCTTAAGCCCAGCATTGTCCAACACCAGCTCTTCGAGGCTCCCCGACTTGCTGAGGGTATGTAGCACCTGTTCTAGCACTTCTGAACCCTGAGGACAGAGGAGTCCTGCCATCAGGAGCCAAGAACATTACTCTGCCATCCCCCTCCCCCTCCTAGTTCTTACCAGCCTTAAGTCTTTGCAGTAGAGTTTGGTGAACCACTGGTTGTAGGCCAGGGCTGCCACCATTAGGGCCAAGTCTCTGTGGGAATAATGGACAGGACAAGAAGTGGTAAGCTGGTGGCTAGGGCAAGAAGGAAGAGACAAGGATGGGATGCCTAGGCTGAGGAAAGCTAGATGGGGAGACTAGAGTGGGCAGATGGATGGAGCTGCAAAGATAAAGCAGGGGTTGCGGGTAGGGCAAGAGGGGAAACCCTGAGAAAGGCAAGACCGAAGGTAAGGCTGGGACTCTTGGGGTTAAAGCCTCTGCCCTGTCTGCTTACCGGCTCTCCAAGTGGCTGAAATCCAAAAGATTGAATTCACGGTTATCCTCAGCATGGTAGATGGTGTCCACATCCTTGAAGAGGTGGCACTGGCTCACATCTGTTCCCTCCCCCTCTTCTGCCCCCTCCCCGTGGGTCCCACCTGCTCCCTGCCAAATCCCTGCCCTACGCACCCATTGCACCTCCTCACGGCAGTGTAGCCCATTGTAGTCACACAGGGCAGCATAGGTCTCAGAGAAGCCACCTGTAGGGCAGGAGATAGGCTGGCTCCATGTGGTGGGGAAGGGGCGGGAAATAAGCTTGGGCTTCAAGGTATGGTCAAGGTCACTGAATGTGCTAGTGTCCTAGTGCCATGAACCTCCTGAGGTCCAAGAGCCTGAAGTCCTTGGCACAGGTAAAGGTTCCCAGGCAAAATGGCACGCAGAGGGTACTAGATAACAGGCAGGTGTTCAAAGTCCCACACTCTCATGTCTGCCCCTGCTCACCACACACACTGTGAGTGGTAGATGTGGAAGTCTCAGAGTTGGGAGACGTGTCTCGGGGTCCCTCTGGGGTGTCTGCATTTCCACGCCGGATCAAACACCTGAAAGATGAACAAATCACTCCAGAGAGAGGTAGACAGAGGCTCTCAATTCTTCCTCCATTATGGCGTCTCCAGGGAAGGCAGGAGAGAGCACTCTTCATGTTCTGGGAGATTCAGAGGAAAGACAAGTCTCCGTGTTGTCTAATCCTTTGGGAGACCCCTTGCTTGCCACTCACCCAGGACCAGGGCAGACCTTGGAGAGGGCGGAGCTCACATGGCGTGTCACCTGGTCTACACTCTCAGCCGATGGCAGCCGCATGCTCACCAAGCCACGCTCAGTCTCCACCAGGATCTGGGGGACAGGGAGTGACAGAGTGTCAGATGTCCACTCTCCCTGTTGGCCCGATATTGGCCTGAGCCCTGGTGCTTACCTGGTTCTGACTGAGTGTATTGAAGGCACGGATCTCCAGGACATTGAAGGAGCTCTCCACCTGGAGGGGAGGGGAGGGGAGGCTCAGTTCCTGGTAAGGACCTAGTCATGAGGCTTAAAAGGAGCATGCCAGGTATTTTCCCACTCCGCAGCTCAACTCACCTTGGCAGGGACTTTAAGGGGGAAGAGGTGGAGGCGCCAGGAGGTCAGGGCCTGCAGAGAAGAGTATCAACAGTTTATGGCAGCCTCTTGAGCCCTTGTTCTGTTTTAGCTCCCTCTGCTCTGCGACGCCCCCCTGCATTTCTCCTGTCCACCTTCAACTCCTGCACATTAACCTGGTCCAGGCCTGTCTTTTCCCCTAGGTTTTGTCTCCTTAGTCCCTCCTTCCCTGTTTCTCCCGTCTACCTCCCTAGAGCTCAGCTGCCCTCACTGCCTCCTCCCTTCCCCCAGGACCAATGCCCTCACCAGCACTCGGTCCTCATACTTCTTGGGTTTTGTTTCCAGCTTCACACGATGTTGTTGGAGCACAGCCCCCTGGCTCAGGCACCTCCGGATGCTGTCTACAGGTAGATGGGACCTGCTTAGAACTTCCCTTATCCCTTACCCCCGGCACCCATATCCAGACAGAGAGGAGAGAAGAAAGACACATAGGTACTGGACAGAGAGGTATGGGACAGAGACATTTTCTTCTTGAATGACTTTGCTATTAGAGGAGGAAAGTGAAGTGAAAACTCTGGCTCCTGGTGTCCCTGAGTCAGGGGACAGTTGCTGAATGACACCGTCTGTGGGAGCATGTGTCTTACACTTCTGAGGGTGTGAAGAATTTTTCCCACCCGTGCTTTATGGCAGCCATCAACACATACACAGTGAGTCAGTGTGTAGGGGTGTGGGGGTGCCCCTTGACTGTATGGTGGTCTGGGTGTGAGAGTCTGCTTTTACTATGGCTGTATGTGTGACGATGCCAGGGAACCTGAGCATGGTATTGGTGGGGATAGAGAAGTGTGAATGAGTATGCCTGCAGCTGTGAAAGGGGCACAGTGCCAGGCAGCTCCTGTGTGGAAAGTTGGGTGGGAGAAGGGTTTAATGTTTCAATGAGCCCCAGATCCATCTGCTGACAGAAGCATCCAGTTACCCCACCGTGTGTGTGTGTGTGTGTGTGTGTGTGTGTGTGTGTGTATTGGAGGTGCAGTTTTTGTAAGATGTGCTTACACATATCTTATGACTGTGCTTCTGAGTGTGTAGGTGTTAGGGATCACCAGAGTGCAGCAGGGTTCTGAGTATCCTTGAGCGTCCTGCTCTCTGCGTGGGCTAGCCTGTGCTTCTGCCTTTGAGGGTCAGAGTTGTGTGTGTGTGTGTGTGGGCTACGTCTGAGAATCATGGATCCAGGGAGGCTTTGAGGTGTGTATAGTGAGAAGGGGGCAGTCTAGGATGCGGGCTGTGGGAGGTGAGCCGCAGAAACCCTACTCTTGGTTTTAGCTTCAGTCCAGGACCTTCCTCCCCCCCGCCCCCGACTCCCTTCTTTGCCCCATTGGCCTGGGCGCTGCCCGGCTCCTCGGGGCTCTCCAGTGCCAGTTCCGGGGCGGGGCCCAGAGGAGGGAGAGTGTTGAGAAAAGCAGCAGTCAGGACCAGGGGCAGCTCCCAAAGCCTAGCCCCGCCCGGCGCGGGTGGGGGAAAGCAGGGACTCTTCGGGGAAAGACCGGACGCCAAGCCGAGGGGTGGGTCAGAAACGCTGGGAGTCAGCCCCAGGGAGCGCGAGGGAACTGCGCCTGTCACCAAAGAGCGGGACGGGCGGCTCTAGGGCAGGTGGGTCCTGAGAGGGTGAGGCGAGTGAGGCAGGAGAGGACGCGATGCTGGAGCTGAGATGCAGGGGAAAGGGCGCCTAGGAACGTGGGGGCACCAGGGGGCGGGAGGAGCCGGGTTAGGGGTGTACTGCAGGAAAGCACGGGGGCTGGATGCTCAAGGACCGGGCGTCCGGCGATCAAGGCAACCTCGTACCTTGCAGCTCGCGGGTGAGCTCCACGCTGGCCTTGGCCATGGCGGCCGCCGCCGCCGCTGCTGTTGCTGCTGCTGCCGAGGAGCCGCCGCCGCCGTCGCCCCGGAGCCGCCGCACATGCTAGTCCCGGCTCCGGCAGGGCCCGGCGCTGAGCGCTGCAGTAGCGGCAGAGCCCGCTCTGGTCTGGGGCGGCTGCGCGAGCGCTCCCGCCCCGCCTGGAGAAGTGGCCGATCGAGCATGCGCGCTGCGCTGTGGAGCCGCGTGAGACCCCGCGCGCGCTCGCGCCAGCGCGCCGACCCCTCCCGCGGGCTACCTCGTGAGATGCCCTGAGCGCATCGCGGGGTGTCCGTGCACTCTCTGGGGCGGGGCGCGCCGTTCCCCGTATCCCTGCCACCCACTCTTCAGTCACCCAGAGCAGCATCTCCAGTCTTTGTGTATGGGCCTGGGTACTACTCCCTGGGTCATCCTCGCGCGGCCCCGCCCTTCCTTCCCCTTCGGGCTCGGGAACCGTCCAGTTTGTCCTTGCCGACCCTTGAGGGAACTCCGAATCAAGGGCGATGCTGCGAAAGACCTGGCGCAATGTGCGGGAGTCCCTTCTTTCCTACTCCCAGCCCAGCCTTGGGGATCCCCTTGGCGTCCTTGGCACCATCTCTGGGGGTGTGAGGCTGAGTAGCACCTGGGAGTTTCCGAGCCGCCTCCCCCCAGCTGGCAGCTCTGCAGACACCGCCACCGGTGAGCTCAAGCTCAGGTCCCGGAGACAGGAAGGAGGGCTGGGGGGAATCCAGAGATCCAGCCTCCCAGACTTCTCAGACACACTATCCAAACAGCCCACACTGAGAAATGATCACACTGACTCTGAGCAACACGATTCTTCATTTTATTGCACCTTATTTGCAAGTTGTTAATTTCCATTCTTGTTCCTTCCCCCCCCAGGTTCCGTCTATCTCCTCTTAAATTCTCCAGAAATTCAGGGGGAAACTCCCCTCACCCCCAACTTGATCTTTTCAGCAGGCTTCCTCCCACCCTCTGGCCCCCAGAAAGCCTTTATTCAAAGCCACAGCAACAACGCAACGTCACACCTTGACCAGAGGGACGGCTGGAACTTAACACAAGGCCGAACTGATTTTGTGAGGTGAACAAAATGATAGGCAGAGGCAGCAAAGGGCAGCAGAGGAAAGGTGGACGCACCCTCCCCACACACCAGTTGGAGACAACCTCTGCCCTCGTGGGCTGTCTTCAGGTCCTCAGAGGCGAGAAGGAGTTCCTCCACCCACTACTATTGTCTCCCCAGTGATGTAACTGGCATCTTCAGAGCACAAGAAAGAAACGATGCCTGCGCAATCCCCTGGCTTGCCTAGCCTGGAAAGCAGGAAAGAAGGAAGAGAGGACAAGTCAAACAGGCCAGTCTCCCTCATGTGCTCACAGGGAATAAAATTTTTTACCCAAGAATTATCAGGTGAATTTTCAAGACTAGTGTACAGCGTTTTGCTTATTAAATAGGGTGATCATGCTTATGTGTTTGTAATTTATATAAACACAAATATGGTATTCTGCAAAACCACATTATATTCACATATAGGGACACTTTTTTTTTTTTTAACAGAGTTCAGGATACCAGAGTGTAAAGCTGGACTGATAAAATGGTGAACAATTACTTTATACTTTATTTCTTATGCTTCAAAGGAAATTGTTTCAACATGTACATATAAGTGCCAGGGAGTCTGTGTGGCAGTAAATGGCATGTCTAAATTACTACAGGTTCAATTTACAGATTCTTACCAGGAATTTATTTTTGTCCCTTTTGACCAGATTCATTTTATAAGAATGTGCTAAATCACGTTGTTTGTATTGTGATTCTGTAGTTAGAGGACACTTGAACTGCCATAGAATACTCTAAAGTTATGAGGAACTAGAAGGCCTAGGCCAGTGGTTCTCCAGCCTAGCTGCAGACTGCTGTTACTTGGGAGGCTTAACATAAAGAAAAGAAAAAAATGTGCAGGTTACACTATGGGCCAATTAAAGAAAAGCCTAGGAGTGAGGCCTAATCAACTGCAGTTGTAAACACGCCCCTGGATGATTCACCTGTACAGCCAGGATTCATGCATGGGGCTAGATGGCTCATTGGGGTCTCTAGGATGGCAATACCCTGACTTATGAATGAGTTGTAGAGCTAGGCCTACAGCTCAAGCCTGACTTCAGCATAGCTTTGGGAAAACTTGAGGAAATCTGGGATGTCTGGACCAGTAAAGAGGTAGGCATTGCCAGCATTTGTCCTTGAGGGGTCAAGCTGGAGGAGCTGAAGATGAACGCCCAGAAGCCAGAAGGTGGAGACAGCGAATTGGGAGCAAAGGCGACCTAGCAAAAACGTCTCAGTAGTTTAGCCAGCCCATTGGGGAAGAGAACAGTTTTTGTGTTTTTGTAAATAAAAAATTCATTTATTTTTATTTGATGTGTTTGTTTTGCCTGTATGTATATAAGTGCACCCATGTCATGTAATGCACACAGAGGCCAGAACAGGAGGTTGGATCTTCTAGAATTGGAGTTACAGATCGTTGTTAGCTGTCATGTAGGTGCTGGGAACTGAACCCAGGTCCTCTGCAAGAGCAGTGTTTTACTTAATGTATGTAAATGCACCTGTATCATACAATGCCCATGGAGGCTAGAAGAGAGTGTCAGAATCCCTGGAACTGGAGTTAAGGACAGTTGTTAGCCAACATGTGAGTGCTAGGAATTGAACCCAGGTTCTCTGAAAGAGCAGCCAGTGCTCTTAATCATTGAACATCTCTCCAGCACCCCCCCATTTCATTTTTTCCTTAAAAAATTTTTTAGTGTATGAGTATTTTGACTATGTATATATGTGTATCACGTGTATGCCTGGTATCTGTGGAGGTCAGAAGAGGGCATTAGATCCCTTGGAACTGGCATTACAGACTGTTGTGAGCCACCATTTGGTTGCTGGGATCCAAATTCAGGTCCTCTTGGGGAGCAGAAAGTGCTCTTAACTGCTGAACCATTTCTCTAGCCCCAAGGACAATTTTTCAAGGCAGTGTTTGGGATTTAGTAAAGCTCTCCATTCCTTCTATTTGGATTGCAGGACCATGAACCTGAGCTTTGGAAACAGGACTATTTCTTGGGTCCTGATCTCCACAGATGCCCAGAGGTAGAGGTAGACAGCGGAGTGGAGAGAGAGCTCCGCTTTGCTCAAATATTGACAACCTCTGATTTTTTGAAATGGAAGCAGTGTCCTTGGTTAGGTCACAGGAGTGACAGAGTTCATGAATTTGTGAAGTCTGGAAGGAGCATGCTGTGGGACTGAGAGCCAGGGGAGACCCTGTTAGCTTTATCCATCCTGATCCTCACTGGTGACAGCTTACCTTCTAATATTCATGGCTTTTTTTATCATTTCCTCTTTTGATTCGTCACTCCATAACTGTGGAAAGAAGGAAAATCTATGTGCAAGAAGAGGAAACCAAGAGATAGCACAGGAAAGAAGCGATCTGTCCCCACATCAATTGAGAGGAAGGATCAGAAGATTCCCCTTCATTTCCTGTGCCCCCCATTGCTGTCCTCTATTTCAGTTTTCAGGTCTTAGTGAGGCTGGGTCTTGCTGGGTCTCCCAATTTTCATTCATTTTGGGAAATATGACACAGTCTGAGTACAGTCTGAATTCCTGGCTCTACCCTATTTGGTAGAGCCAAGTGGGAAAGTAATGTGTGGGAGTCTGGTGTGGGGAAAGTGTCTGGTATGGAGAGGGGAGTTTGAAAAAGTGGGGGGAGGGGGGATGGGAGTGAATGGGAGCTTAGGACTCAGGTACTAGGCTTTCCCGTCCTAAAAGACAGATCCTTTCCAGGGTCCCGGGGTGGAGGTAGGGGAAAGGCTCCCTCTCCTTACCACACTGCTGAAGTGAGTCTTGATGAGTCCAGGTGCCAAGCAGTTCACTCTAATGTTCTTTGAGGCCAACTCTGAGGCCAGGTTCTTAGTAAGACCCAGCAAAGCTGTTTTACTAACATTGTAAGGGCCTAGGTTCTAGGGAAAAGAGAAGTATTAGTTTAGTTTCTCTTAGTTTCCAGGTCATTCTTGATTGTTCTCGGACAATAAGGGCAGGGGTCAAAAAGGTATCTCCTGTAAGGAAGGGTCAGGGTCAGAAAACTGCCTTGTACAGTTCGTGGAAAGCAAGGCATCTATTTTGTGGGAAGGGACTTGCTAGGGTGATGCTAAAATATTTCTTTGGGTAATTGGTGGGGTGGATGATGTGGGATGGAGGACAGGACAGAAGTGGCAGAGGGGTTCTTACAGGAAATGGAGCGAAGCCTGCTACGGAAGCCACAATCACCAATTGGTGGGGTGGATGATGTGGGATGGAGGACAGGACAGAAGTGGCAGACGGGTTCTTACAGGAAATGGAGCGAAGCCTGCTACGGAAGCCACAATCACCACTGAGCCGCCTCTAAGAAGGAAAGAGAGCTGAGGGTCCCTTTGTCATCGAGACCACTGCCCGTGTGGGGCCCCATCTCACCCAAGCTTCCTCTCAACATTCATACCCTCGTTTCTCTATCTCTGGCACCACTGCTTTTGTCATCATGGCTGTAGCCGTCACATTAATCTTCAGAACCTGAGGCCAACAGAAGGAGAAACAACATGAGAAGAGCACGGGAGGGGCACAGTGATGAGGAGTTTCGGTAGGTTCCCATGATCTGCTTGTTAGAGCTGCCCTGGACCTGATAATGGGAGAGCCCAGAGTTCAGCCATGAGTAGTTACCTCTCACCAGCTCACGTGGCTAGGTGATGACACATCAGGTTGGGTGAGACAGAATGCAACCAGCTCGTCCCTCCTAGCCGGCCAGGTCCAGGATGAGCCTGACCTCTCAGGGATGCTTTGGATTTCAGCTAGATTTAATGTTTCCTCCATGTAGGGAGAGCCTGGAATTGGGTCACTGCCTGCATCCAGCATCCCTTGTCTAGATTCAAATTATTCAGCTTTTGATTTGGATTTGTTTTCCAAGTATTGAGACAGGGGCCCACTCTGTAGCCCACCATGGAACTCACTATGCAGCCCAGGATAGCCTTGAACTCATGGCAATCCTCCTGTCTCAGCTGCTCTAGTGCTGGGATTTCAGGTGTGAGCCATTGAGCCCAGCTTTAGTTCAGCTTATGTATGTATGCATGTATGTATATGTATGTGCATGTATATGTGAGTGTATGTGGAAGCCAGAGGTCAACTCAGGACATTTCCCTGAATTGCTTCTCCAACTTCTTTTTCTTCTGAGACAGAGTTTGTTGCTGATCCTAGAGCTCACAGATTCAGCTCCACAAGTCCCAGGGATCATCTTTTCACAGCCTCAGTGCTGGGACTATAGGTACACTGGGGATCTGAACTCAGGCCTTCATTCTTGCAAGTACTTTACTGACTGAACCATCTCCCTACCCCTTCCCGTCCCCCGTGACAATGACATCTTCCCTGATTGCTCTCCACCTTTCTTTTGGGACAAGGACTCTCATTAAAGCCATAGCTCGCTGATTCATCCAGACTGGCTGATTAGCAAGCTCTGGGGCTCTGTCTCTGCCCCCTGCTCCCCTAGTGCTGGGGTTATAGATGCAAGGAGCTGTGCCAGCTTTTAAGTGGATGCTGGGAATCTGTGAATTCAGGTTGTGTGGCAAGCATTTTACCCACTGAACCATCTCCCCAGTCCCTAGTTTTTGTTTTTAATGAACCACTGAAGACTTGACAATGCTGCACATTTCCAAAGAAGAACTTTCTCTTGCATGATTACAATTCATTATTATGGCCAAGAAATGTAACAATGACAGAATTTTATTGACTATGCTAGCTATAACAAAACCTTCCTAGTTGTCCTTCAAATTCCTCCTCCTCCTTCCTTCCTTCTTCCCTTCCTCCCCCTTCCTCTTTCTTCCTCTTTCTCCCTTCCTACTCCTCTCTGCCTCTTCCTTTTCATTTATTTATTTATTTATTTATTTATTTATTTATTTATTTATTTATATTTATTTATGTCTTTTTGAAACGGTCTCCCTATAGTCCCAGCTGGAACTTACTATGTAGATCAGGCTGGCCTTGAACTCACAGAGATCCGTCTGCCTCTGCCTCCCAAGTGCTGGGACTAAAGGCATGTGCCATCACGCCCAGCTCTTTCTATTTTTTAAAAAACACTGGGCATGGTGGCGCACGCCTTTAATCCCAGAACTCAGGAGGCAGAGGCAGGTGGATCTCTGTGAACTCGAGGCCAGTCTGGTCTACATAGTGAGTTCCAGGCCAGCTGGGGCTATAGGAAAACCCTGTCTCAAAAACACCAAAAAAAAAATTTTTTTTTTATTTTTATTTTTTTGTGTATGTGTATATTGCTTGGATGTATGTAAGTGTACCCATGTTGTACAATGCCCATGGAGGTCAGAAGAGGCTTTCAGATCCCCTGGAACTGGAGTTACGGACAGTCGTTAGCTGCCACGTGGGTTTTGGGATTTGAACCCAGGTCTTCTGTAAGAACATCCAGTGTTTTTAACCACTGAGCCATCTCTCCAGCCCCTATTTTTTATTTTATGCATATGAGTGTATTGCCTACATGTAGGTACACCAGTGTTATGCAGTGTTGTGCCTGTGGAAGAGAGTATCGAATCCTCTGGAACTGGAGTTAAGGATGGTTGTTAGCCACCATGTGGGTGCTGGGAATAGCACCTGGGTCTTCTGCAAGAGCAGCCAGTGCTCTTAACCACTGAGCCAACTCTGTTTTTTTTTTTTTTTTTTTTTTTTTTTTAGACTGGGTTTTTACTGAGTAGCCTAGGTTAGCCTTGAACTCACTATATAGCCCAGGCTGGTCTCAAATTTACAGTGACCCTTCTGTCTCAATTTCCCAAGTACTGGGATTATGAGTGTGTGCTGTAACACACTTGTCCCCCAGATTTCCTTCTTAAAAAATTTCAGAGCCAGGCATAGTGGTATATTCCTCAAATACCAGGCTTAGGCAGAAGGATCGCTACTTAGCAAGATCCTGCCCATGTCCCTGCTAAAAATCCATAGTACAATTAAGGTTCAACCACTGCATTTAGGTTTGATGTTCTGTAACATTAAAAAAAGTAAAGCAATAGCCGGGCCTGGTGGCGCACGCCTTTAATCCCAGCACTTGGGAGGCAGGTTAATCCCAGATCCAGTCAAGTTGACACCCAGGATTGGCCATCACAGATACCCAAAATTTGGGTTAACTCTTCCTATCCAAAAAAAAAAAAAAAAAAAAAAAAAAAAAAAAAAAAAAGTAAAGCAAAAAGAAAAATTGCTTCTTTCCAAACTGATCTTATTTAGACTGTTGCTGAAAGATGTTTCTTTACTTTAGAGAATATCAAAATCAGGAACTGGTTCACTGAAGGACATTTTGGCATTTTGGTCTTTATGTGTGTGAAACACAGATAAACAAATTACAATATTTTACTATCCTTAAACTCTAGTATTGAGAAAGCCATGGGAGATCATAAGACATTTAGCATTTCCAAATCATGTGGGAATATTAACCTTTAAAAAGGTTAATATAAGACAAACACTTTAATTAGAGCTTTATAATTAGAAGATGTAGATGGGAGAAATATATCACGGGTATGATGTAACAGACATGTTCATATAAAACCAATATCCTAGTACTTGAATTTAGACACAGGGATTTCAGATTTTCTTAGCACTACAGATAAAAAGAACAAAGGACAGGTTGTACCCAAAGGCTGTGTGTTATAAAGCATTAATTTTTATAATTTCACCAAAATTGGTATTTCACTTAAGCAGCAGCTATTAACATTTCTCAACTAATGAAAGGCATTCTTTTTTGGCAACTGAAATGCAGATGGGTGGGTGTGTGAGTTTAAGTATATTAGTTGTTGGCCTGTTAGCTGCCATGTCTTTTCTGGAAATAAACCAGGAAGAGCATGGGGACGCGGGCCTGGGGAGAAGGCTGGGGAAAGGAAGCAGAGGTGGTTAGCGACTGTAGGTGGAGTGAGGGGAAAAAGCAGAGATGAAAGGGAAGGGGACAGAGGAAGCCAGCCCTCACAGGTGCTGTGCCAGGTTCATGACAGATACACATGTTGCATATTCATGCACTTGGCTTGAAGAAGGCATTCTAAAAGCAGACCAAGTTAGTGCTGCTTGTTTAGGCCAGCTCCCCTCACCCCCGCCTGCTGCTTTAATCTCTCACCTTGTCCCACACATCCTCAGTGACATCCATCATGTTTCCAAAGAAAGGGTTGACTGCAGCATTGGACACCAGGATATCAATACCTCCATGACGATTCACAGCCTAGAGAGGAAGGACTTGGTCAAAGCTGCAGGTAAGGGAGGGAGGTGCATTTATCAGTGCTGATAAAGAATTTCTTCTTAGGAGCAGTTGTCAAAAACATCTTTCTTGAAACATTTGTTCTCTAAAGCTACCCTAAGCCCTGCTATTATTTGAGATTCTTATTTCTTTGCAATCTTTCCAGTCTGTTCTTCTTTTAAGGGTGTCTCTGACCCTTTGCTCTTTCCTTTTAAAATTTTTTGTTTGTTTTTATTTATGTGTATGAGTGTTTTGTCTGCACATATGTAAGTGCATCCACAAGAGTGCAATGCCTGGGCAGGCCAGAAGAGGGCATCGGGGTTCCTGGAAATGGAGTTAGGGATGGTTGTTACCTGCCATGTGGGTGCTGGGAACTGAACCTGGGTCTTCTGGAAGAGCAGCCAGTGCTCTTAACCGCTGAGCTGTCTCTCCAGTCCTCCTCCCTTTGCGCATTTCTTTATACTTTTCTTTAGGGCACTCCTTCATTCTTATACCTTTAACCCTCACCTCAAATATATTTCTAGACCCCTCTCTTGAGTCCCAGCCCCATTTCCTTAAGTGCTTACTGCCCTCAAATGTGTTATCATGACTTCAAAGTCAACCTGTTCACACTTATCTGAATGAAGAGAGGTCCTTGGAAAGTTCCTATTGGGGTGGGCTGTGATCATTCTAGCTAGCCCTATGTCCTCATGGTAGATGTGATGACACTGAGGTCCAGGGACATCCATTTTTCAAGATCATAACTCAGTAATCACATTTTAGGGCCAGTTAAGAGCAGGAAGGCCTGCTCCTTTGGTGTTTGGGAGAGGTAAAGGGACTTTCTCAGGGCACAATGTGGTGGCAGAACGGAGGTCAGATCCTTACTCCGTAGCACAGAGCTGGTTCCTAGGAGCCTTCTGAAAGTGAGTTGGGACCATTATGAAACTGGCTGCTCAGGTGAAGACACTCAGTTCCACACTCAGCCTTCATGTCATTTTTCTTTCTGGCCCAGAAGCACAGAAGGCAGAAACTAAGTCTTAAACTGGGAAAGCTAAGAAAGGAGACATCTCACCTCTAGTAAGTTGCAAGTAGGTGGTAAAGGCCTGGGATAGAGTAACGGGTGGCTAGGGAGATTATGCCAGCAAGCATTTTCAATAGTAAGAAGCCACTGGTAAAACTAGACTGCATTTGCCTAGAATTGGCAACTTTGATGCCTTGGGCAAATAGCATGTAATGGGCCTTCAATCAACTTTGTGCCTCCAATTTGGCAAACGTGGGGTGTTATTAACAATGCACACCATCTGCTAGCTTCTCCTTTTAACTAATTATTCTTGCTAACTAGGTGCTAAGCTCAGTTGTTTCTACACTGCTACAGGAATACTGGGCTGTCGGCTATTCATTTAACAAAAATTTAAAGTCACAGAATCCTTAAAAACCACTATTGATGCTTTCTCGAGCCTTCTAAATTTTGGTTGTAGCACAAAGTCCCAGTCGCCTGCTTTGGCTCTGCACAAGCATCCTGATGACTTGTAACTGGCAAGAACAGAGTAAGTTGGAAAGTGATGTGTGCCATGCTCTGTGTGTATCTGGGGTGGGGAGAGGGTAGTGAATTGTACCAGGATCACTTGGGGAGTTTGTCCTCTCTTGAGCCTCCCATCTCCCTTCCCTTCTAGGCTTGTCACCATGGGGGTGGTGGAAGGAAACCTGGGTTTCGACTGAGCAGCACAGAACCATAAAAGATGATGAGAAAATTGGCATGATGGTCTATGTGTGTAATTTCAGCACTGGGGAGGCCGAGGCAGAAAGATCACAGGTTTGAGGCCAGCTTGGTTATATAGAAAGACCCTGTCTCAAAAACCCCAAATCAAAACCAAATGAAGCCAAGCCAAGAAACAAACAAATGATGAATGAAAAACGTACTCATGACCATGATGGTGTCTTCCAGCTCTTGTTTTAAACTGTATGATCACCACACTGACGTATTTGGGACTTATTTATTTATTTATTTTTGTTTTACATGTATAAGTGTATTGCCTGCATGCAGGTAGGTGCACCTGTGTTGTGCAATGCCCGGGGAAGTCAGAAGAGGGTGTCGGATTCCCTGGAACTGGAGTTATAGATGTTTGGTAGCTGCCATGTGGATGCTGGGAATTGAACCTGGGTCCTCTGCAAAGAGCAGCCAGTGCTCCTAACCTCTGAGCCATCTCTCTATCCCTGTGTTTGGGACTTTTTATATTCTGACATTTATTGATTTTAGAAAAAGTATAATCAAGCGGGGACGCTGCCCACTTGTTTTCCTCCCACCACACCACCGTTGAACTTTCCAGTGATACAGAATGGGAGGCTGTGGGTGGTGACCACCTTTGGGGCAGTGGCTTTTCTCTTTGTAGAGTAACAGCTGGCAAAGGAACATCTGAAAGCGCTGACAATTATTGTCATTCTGCACCTTGACATCAGTTGGGAAGACTCTTCTGAGAGTTCTTTAAAGATTTATTTTTATTTGTGTGTGTGTGTGTGTGTGTGACATGTATGCCACGATGACCTTTTTCACTTGCCTCTCTTATTTCTCATTTCTTGACGTGTGGTTGGAATGATTAGTTCCCACTGTCTCTTTGGCAGTCCCTACTTTGCACTGCCGTGGACCTGGACAACAGCAGCAGCCTCCTCACTGACGCTCTTGGCTCAGGGTCTTCTGTAATCCTTCCTAACACAGCCAGTTATCTTTAAAGTATTCTCATCTTGCTCAAAGCCTCACATGACTTCTCCTTTCCTACACAGTCATGGAAACTCCCTTGGGAGGCTGTGGGAGTTCCCGAGCCCCACCTACGCAGCCCATTTCCCACAGTACTTGCTCTTTGCTGTGGAATGACAGAGTCCCCCTCTTTCCTTCAGTTCCCTCTTGGCTGATTGCTCATTTATCAGGGTTGCTGGAGCCCCACCCTCACTGTCTGTCCACTTCCATCCATACCCACTCATTCCTGGCTCCAGTTGAGAACCAGCCTTCTGGATCTGCTAGGCGAACCTGCTGGAGGCCAGAGGACATTTTCCCACTAGGGTTTTTCTTTCTTGTTTTTCTTTTTATGTGTGTAAGTGGTGCATGTCTGTGTGGGTACATGTGCACATGCGTGTGTGTGAGACTGTGGAGGCCCGAGGCTGGTGTCAGGAATCTCCCTCGTTGCTATTTCACCTTATTCTTTTGTGGAAGGGTTTCTCAATCAAATCCAGAGCTTGCAAATTCGCTGAGTCTCCATAGCCAACTTGCTCCGGGGATCCTTGTCTCTGCCTTCTAAGCTGGAATTACAGGTGAGCCCCTAAGCTCACCTGGCATTTATGTGGATCTGGGGGGTCTGAACTCTTCTTCTTGTTTGCATAGGAAGCACTTTGACTGCTGAAACCATTTCCCAAGTCTCTCCCCACCCTCACCCCCTGGGAGGATTTTGACATGAAATTATGTAATGCCCTTGGTTTGACCCCAGTACTGAGAAGAAAGGATAACAACAACTAAACCAAACTGCTATGTTCATTTCAAATGAAATTCACGAATTGGCCCCTGCTCCTAAGGGGCACCTTGTAACCTCAGGATCAAGGCTCAGGTCTTAGGCTTGTCCAGCAGCCTATGCCAAGATGGATTTTCTTGAACTCACATTTGACCCTTTGCAATGCACATTTAAATATTTGTCAACAGTTGTTTAAGAACGTAATTACCGGAGGCTGCAGAGATGGCTCAGCGGTCAAGAGCACTCACTGACTGCTCTTGCAGAGGACCTGGGTTCAATTCCCAGCACCCACATGGCGGCTACGAACTGTCCTTAACTCCAGTTTCAGGGGAATCTGAAGCCCTCTTCTGACCTCTGAGGCATTGCATGGCACATGCAGGCAATACAGTCATACATGTAAAATAAAATAAAAAAAAAGAATGTAATTACCTTATTCTGTCTGTCATATGTCTGTCTACTATTGTTTAAGGCACTCCTCTTCTAAGAAGATCACTGTCATATGTCATATGTCTGTCTACTATTGTTTAAGGCACTCCTCTTCTAAGAAGATCACCCAAATTGTTTCTGTCCACTCTTGAATGTGTTCACACGATTCTGCTTTCTCTGTGCAGGGAGGAGTGCTTTCACTTTGGAGGACAGTACCTCCCAAGTCTTAAGACTTCTCTGTTGGATGGTTTATATTTTCTTATGCAGTGGGACAACTGGTGACAAGTGCTAACTTGACATTGGCTGAGACTAAAGTCAATTTGGGCACATAAAGCCCAGTACCACACAAATAAGTTTGTGCCTAGTAGTCTGCAGACATCCGAAACGGGGTAGCTCTGGGTTGAATCCTAGATCTTTTCCTTGGGAAGTGGCTCCAACTATCTGAACCAGTCTCTGTGAATAGAGGGAGAATAGTCTTTGCCAGGTATCGTGGCTTATGCTTATAATTTCAGCACTTAGACGAGGCTGAGGCAGGAAAGTTCATGGCTAGATTGGGTCACATAGTGACTTCCAGACCATTCTGGGCTACAGAGTGAGATCCTGCCTCAGAAAACCCCTACCCAAACCAAACTAAATCAAACCAAGGACAGTAGAAGCCTATGTAAGGCTCTAAACACAAGAAACGGCTCATATGGTGAATGAAACATGGTGGCCTGCCTCCTACCAGCTCCCAGAGACTACAAGCTGAAGAACAGGGATTGCTCATTAGCTCATGGGTGGGAACAACTAATTTGTGACTTACCCTTTTCATCTGCCCAACCACATTGGAACACTAGAGAACCAGGACTACCTATTTATTTGGGGGAGGGGGTGTGCCTAAAGGCTTATCCCAGGTTGAAGCATTAGGGTGTGTGCTGGATAACTTTAGCTCAACTTGACACACTTGGGCTTAGGGAGCCTCAACTGGGGAATTCCCTTCATTGGGCTGGCCTGTGGCCATGTCTGTGAGGCATCTTCTTCATTGTTGTGTGATGTGGGAGGGCCCAGCCCACTGTGGGTGGTGCCACCCCTGGGCAGGTGGGCCTGTGTTGCATAAGCAAGCAGGCTGAGTAGGGGCCAGGGGAGCAAGCCAGTAAGCAGTGATTCTCCATGGCCTGTGCTCCAGCTCCTGCCTCCAGGTTCCTGCCCTGAGTTCCTACCTTGGGCTCCTGGATGAACTGTTACCCAGGATATGTAAGCTAAATAAACCGTTTCCTCCCCAAGTTGGTATTGGTCAGAGTATTTTGTCACAGCAATGAAGAAACAAACTAGGACAGGGTGGCTTTTGATCCTCTGACTGGGAGTAGATGGTAGCTCTCAGACTTTATGATGCAGATGTGACAGGAAAAAGGCACACAATAAAAATGTGCTGGTGGACTGATTTGGGTGTGGGTACTGGGAATGCACTGTTAGTGTCACTGCTGGGTTGGACCTCACCAGTGCTAAGAAATCAGGAATGGGGGCTCAAGCTGGTTCCCTTCTGCCACCTCCTGGCCCAGTGCCCATATCCCTGCTGCTCACCGTGGTCACCAGCCGCTCTCGGTCCTCTGCCTTCCCTACATGGCACACAATGCCGGTCACACTCAGCCCCTCGCCCTGCAGTGTGGCCACTGTTCGGTCCACGTTCTGCTGCTTGCGACTGCTGATGACCACATGGGCCCCATCCTCAGCCAGACGCCGGGCGATGGCTAAGCCAATCCTTTCAGTGCAGAAAGAGACATGTTGTCAAGGCCTCCATAACAAGGGAAAAGGGTGAGGGCAGGGGCTCTGGAGTCAGATTGCTGGCTTTGGATTCTAGCTCTTTCCGAATGTGGCCTCCATATGCTTCTATTAGGTATAGAGCAGGCTTAACCACACAGTTATTATCAGGCAGATAGACATGCTCAGATTATTTTATTATCTTGTCCTTCACCTCAGTTCCTGGGACCTGATGGCACCTTCCAAAGGCCCCACCCCTGGTTGCTGGCCCTACACCTAGTGGGGATAAAAGGGAGCGAGACAAGCTGGGTGTGCAGCTGTGGCTATAACTTGAGAGTCTCTCTTGAAGGAGCCCATATTCCTAAATACCTCTCTGACAGGACTACATCCTCAAAATTCTGTCCTTAGTTATATTTGGGGAGTTCATGGGAAAGGATGGTCAAAACGTAAATATTGATTACACATTTAACAATTACCAGCCATAAGCATTTCACATACCTCTGTATTCCAGATTTGTGAGAAGCCTGTATCTAGCAAGGTCCCATGGGAATGAGAAACAGGATCAATGAGTGGTGGGTGAGACAGGCCGGCCAGGGCGGGGCAAAATATACACACCTAAACAAAACCTGGACACATCCAGGTAAAGGGGTGGGGGTGCTCTGGAGGACTTATTAGGTGCCCAGATGGAGTGTTTGCAACATTTCCATGGTGGACGGGAGGGAACAGGATAGTGTGAAACCTGGACTCTGGGTTTTTGGTCTTCCCAGACTCTAGGAGGAGCTGTTGATCGGGGCAGCCCAGAAGCATGAAGGGTGTGGGTTCTAGGGACAGTACCGAGCTGTCCAATGTCCGAGGCAGCAGTGACCCTGGGCTGGGGGAGCTGGGGCTGGGTTGGTGTTTCGGAGGGACTTCAGGTCAACCAAGTGGGTTCCCCCCACCTCCCCCCCGCCCAGGACTTTGGCAGCATTTGGGGCCTGCGGACGAGAGGCTAGGAGTTAAGAGAATACTTGTTTCCAGACAGCTGGGGCCGCAGAGACTCTGGCTCCGGTACTCACCCGTCGGTGGAGGCCGTTACCAGGGCCACTTTATTGGCGAGTGGGTTTCGGCGGGTCACCCCGGAGCTGGCCATCCTCACGGACTTCCAGGCCCGTGCACCGCGGCCTAGCAGCAGCCTCGCCTCCTGCATGGGTCAGGCCGGGAGGGTGGGTGGAACTCGATGGGAGGAGGGGGCTGTTGGTGCAAAGAGCAAGAGGTTGGACCAGCGGAGCCTCCGCCTCCGCAGACTCGCTGCTCGGCCGCCCGACCGGTTCAGCGACGGGCCCTGTGTCTGCGGCGCCCCCTGCCGGCGCCCTGCCCCGCCGCCCCGCTGTCTTCTATGCTCTGCGGTCTGAAGTGTGCTTAGTCCAAGTTTCCCCTGGGCCGCCCCCATCCCCTCTGCAGGACCTCGCAGACTTCTCTGTGCTCCAGGTCCTCTTTGCACATCTGCTTGCCAACCTCGTGTGTGTGTGTGTGTGTGTGTGTGTGTGTGTGTGTGTGTGTGTGTGTAGGGCGGGGTGTGCGGAGTTGCAGGGGGAGAGGAAGCTTTGAGTTTTTTATTTCTCCAAACTTCGGAATGGAATTTTTCCTCCAAAAAGGCCTAGGTCTACATATGGGGGGCGCAGAGATGGTGCTTTCAGTAAAGTGCTCGCCACATAAGCATGACATGGACTTGATTTCAGATTCACAGCACCCATGTAAAAAGCTGGGTGTGGCAGCTAACGCTAATCCTAGCTCTGGGGACACAGACAGGACGATACCTGGGGCTTCTTGACCAGCTAGTCTTGCCAAATCGGTGAGCTCCAGACTCTGAAAGATCTGGATAAAACTGACAGTGATAGAACACACTCGATGTTGACTTCTGGCCTCCACATGTACCTGTGTGTGCATTTTCACCCCTGCAAACACACATGAAAGTCTAAGTCTTCATAGGTGATAGCCCACAGAAGAGTGAATGATTTGAGCCTGCGGAGGTGAGACTTGTGGTCCACCATGTGAAGGAAGAGGAGCCAGGAGACAGACATGATGGGATATCATAGCTGGGCTAGGCCTGACACTGCTCTTCCCTCTAGCCCAAGGTCTGCTCCATCTTCAGACAGGCAGACAATGGTCGCTGAGGTACCCAGTGTGAAAAGACAGAGATCCTGATTCTATCCAAGAGGACCTTCCATTTTATAGCTACTAGGTGGTCTTCCAACCACTGGTGGAAATTGGAGACTGGGGAGTACCTGAATTCTCCCTGATCACTGTGTCTTCAGGTCTTATCCCCCATCCTAGTTCAATAAATATTTGTTGTACATAAAAGTGCTTTATGAACTGTAAATTACTAAACACATAGTCATTATTGCTACCACATAGTAATTTTTATTGTTGTCACAGGCTAGACTCTTCATCTGTGAGCGTGGTGGAGTAGATGATGAATAAAATCCTTACTAGCTATAAATTCTAAGTCCAAGACTTCAGCCTCCATTTCTGCCAAGTGAGCTGAAATGATCTCCCTCCCAAGTTTGTCGGAGAATTAATAAATCTGAATGCCTTATAGTGCATTATAAAAAGGCTCCACCAGACCCAACTACACTGTCTGAATTACTTTAACTCAGGGGCTTCCAAATGCCAGGCTGAAAAGCAGTGCTGGCCCCGGCAACATTTTCAGTATTTTGAGGCAAAATGAGAAAACGAAAGACAATACAGTGAGTTTTGTAAAGCTGACAACAGAAAGCTCTTTATTCTGGAATGGGTCCATGCCCTCTTTTTGATGTTAGTCTTTTCTTTCAGAAAAGATGATGAAAGCAGACAAATGGGTTTAGAAGAGTGTTGTTAGTCTGTGAAAATCACTAGTTTGTCAACTTTATGCCAGTTCCTACAACTAGAAGGCCTGTGAAATACAGTTCTGGGGTTCACTGTTTAATACAATTCACAATTTTTTTTTTGGTATTTTTGAGACAGGATCTCCCTGTAGCCCCACCTGGCCTGGAACTCATTATGTAGAGCAGGCTGGCCTTGAACTCACAGAGATCCGCCTGCCTCTGCCCTCTGAGTGCTGGGACCTAAAGCCGTGCACCACCACGCCTGGCTGCAATTCACATTTACTAAAGGTTCATTTAGTATATGTATAAGCCAGTCAAGCAGCTGAGGCAGAATTTCAGCATTCGAGATGTGTTGGGCAGGGGCAGTACATGAAGAGCAAGTCATTTAATGGGCAGAACTAGATTTATGGTGCATTTCTCAACTGAGAAGTTACAGCTGTGGTACTCAGCACATTCTGATGAGATAAGACAGCTTATGTCTAATTTTCTTCATGTCCGGAGGAAAAGTGACTCTCTGACTGGTGCCCCTCAGTCTGAGCCTCATGAATTATTGACAGAAGCTAGAGCGTACCACACTCCTCTTCCTCTCTCACTCTTTGGAGCTAATGCACTGTGGGAACCCTTCCCATATCTTCACCTTTGTGTGGAGCTGGGAGAGGGTATGAGGAGGACTCCAGGGATTCTTAAAGCTTGGCTTAGAGGGACAGGCCAACAGGATAGGGTTGGGTGGTATGTGGTTGAGGGAGACACTTCAAAGAGCAAAAGATTTTGGGGAAAAGAGTTATATCCTATGAGTGTGGTGAGTATCACATGGTCCTTCTTCATATGGACGGGATTGAAATTTGGTCTCTAGCACAGGGAAGTTAGGGAGATCTGTGAAGAGAAAAAAGCAAAGGAAAGCATGAAGCATGGGGTGTCTAGTTTCTGCTCCTCATAAAAGTGGTTTGTTGGAGATGGGATAGGACATCTTTTTTGGAAATACAGGTATGTGTAGAGTATCTCTGACGTGGGAACATTAACAGGATATGAGGTTGTTGTCTGAGGTGGCAGCCTCTGCTTCATCTTGAAGAAATACCCCTGTGATTAAGGACTTTGCTTTCATCTTCTTCATGCCTGACTGGGGTGCAGAAGAGATTTCATTCGGGACGAACTTACATTCTGCAGTAGGCATCCTTGGTTGGTGGTCATGAGTCGTGCTTGATTGACACAAGTCAAGACTGGGCAGTGTGTATGCTGTTGGGTCAACTGTCAAGCAGGGACAGTAATAAAAATGTTAAAAACACTACTTACTGAGGATACACTAAGTGCTATCAAGTGTTAGGTGCTCTTAATAAATTTTATTAAGCATTTCTTTTTAAAAACATTTGTTATTTAAAAATATTTTTATTATTTTTTCACTATGTAAATCAGGCTGGTCTTGAACTCACAGAGATCCGCCTGCCTCTGGATTAAAGGCATGCGCCACCACACCCAGCCTATTTATTATTTTCATTTTATGTGTATGCGTGTATGGCCTGCATGTAGGTAAGTGCACCCCTGTCATGCAATGCCCACAGAGGTCAGAAGAGGCTGTTGGATCCCCTAGGACTGGGGTCATGGACAGTTGTTAGCTGCCATGTGGGTGCTGGGATTTGAACCCAGGTCTTCTGCAAGAACAACAGGTGTTCTTAACTGCTAAGCCATTTCTCCAGCCCCTTATTTATTATTTTTATTTTATGTGTATGAGTGTATGTGTGTAAGTGCACCCATGTCGTGCAGTGCCCAAGGAGGTCAGAAGAGGGCGTCAGATTCCCCTGGTACTGGAGTTACAGATGATTGTTATCCATCATGTGGGTGCTGGGAATCGAACCCAGGTCCTCTGCAAGAGCAGCCAGTGCTCTTAACTGCTGAGCCATCTCTCCAGCCCCTTACTGAATATTTCTAGTGGGAGATATGGGCCTTTATATTTTCCTATGTGAAATCAGACAGTCATGGCAGCCTGCCTACTTTTCTAGAATTGTTGGGATTTTTGTAGATGTGAACTGCCATACAAAGTAATCTCCTCTGACTTAGAATTTTACTTTCAGGAATACTGTATCTTTGTTTTTGTGTTTTTGTTAGTGCTGAGGAATCAAACCCAGGGTCTTGCACATGGTAGGCAAGCACTCTACAACTGAGCCATAATTTTAGCTCTTTTTTGTTTTAATAATTAAGATAATCATTATTTAAATTGTAACTATGACACATGCTCATGGTTTTAAAAAGGAATGGAAGGGTACATGAAAAGTAAGAGTGGCTCTTCCCTATGCTGCTTTTACCACTTCACATTTAGGTTTTGGTCTCACGCATCCTCCCTGAAGTTCTCTACACATTTATATGCATTTTTTTCCCCTTAAAATCTTTGTCAGTCAGGTGCAGTATTGTACAACCTTTAATCCCAGAACCCGGGAGGCAGAGGCAGGTGGAGCTCTGTGAGTTCCTGGTCAGCCTGGTCTACATAGAGAGTACTAGGACAGCCAGTCTACATAGACTCTGTTTCAAAAACAAACAAGCAACAACAACCTCTCCCCCCCTCCAACAATCAAACGAACAAAAAACCACAAAAAAATCTTTTTCACATATGAAATGACACTATACATACTATCCTTCAGACAGCTTGCTTCTTTTTCTTTTGGTCTTTTTGAGACACGGTCTTTGTGACCATGAGCCCATGAGGATTTGTGGGTCCCATGAAATTTTTAAACAGCCCCAGCTGGCCTGGAACTCACTATGTAGACCAGGCTAGCCTTGATCTCACAGTCATTTACCTCTGCCTCCTGAGTGCTGGGATTAAAGGAGTGTGCTACCATGCCCAGCCTTTCTTTCACTCCCTGAAAATACGTTCTTGGAGAATGTTGTGATTGGTACATAATAGATCTACTTTATTTTTTACTTTCTAAAATAGTTGTAAAGTATCTTGTTATGTGGATCTTCTTCACAGTGGAGCATTTAGTCAGTCTCCTACCAATGAACATTTCAGTGGCTTTAAGTTTTCACTATTTCAAACAACATTATTATAGTAGAAAAACCTTGGATATACATTCATTTTATGTTTTGTACACATACATTTGTACCCAGGTTGACGGCTATGATCAAATTACCTTCAAAAAGTTGATTAAAACTGTTTAATCAGTTTTGGTGGACTTGTTTTTCTAAGGTGAATTTATCTACTGCTCTACTCACCGACACACAGAACATATGATGGGTTAAGCTGGTGAATGGCTTAAATTCTGTGATGGCAACATGTTGTGGGGTCTGTGTGACCATGAGCCCATGAGGATTTGTGGGTCCCATGAAATTTTGAAACAGAAGCTAGAAATCTGGGTGTCAATAGGAAACATTTGGCCTTTTAAATGTTGGCAACTAATTTGCTTTTAAAACAACAAAAACCAAATGTCAGCAGGGCATGGTGGCACTCGCTTTTAGTCCCAGCACTTGGGAGGCAGAGACGGGG